GGTAATAAATGGTACAACTTGATTCAATAATGCACAATTTCTGTATTTTTATTTAGATTTTTTTTGTTTTGCATAAATTTGCATAATGTTTGTAAAATATTTACATTGCATTTTAAATAATTAATTAATATTTTATATACATGTTTAATTATTCAAATTATTATTGGTATATCTCTCTGTTTTGATAATACAAATGAATATGTATTTGAATATTTAACAATAATAATAACTACAACAATATAATTAATAAAAATAATCCTAATTATAACTTAAAGTTGTATTTTTAAAATTAGTACAAAAAATAATGAAATGATTACGTAAATGCCAGCTATCTCTAAATAGCCCAAATGCCAGAACTCGGTTAACAACCCAAATGTCAGAGATCTTCAGAAGGTTTAATCTGAGTGAAGCGACTGCATCACGAGGAAACACTCACACTGATGCGTTTATGACTCTCACATGACTGATGCATCAATTCAGGATCCAGCATCAGAAAGGTCATCCAGAAATAAACCTCTAAAACTGAGCAAAGATCCATCTATATAGTCACCTATCCTCATTTAAATAATGAGTGTTATCATTAATCTACATAAATATAATGCTTACACATAATAGTTTTAACTTTATTACTTTTATTTTTATTATTATTATCAATATTATTCATCCATGCATCCACATTGAAATAATTATTGTCATTTTTAATTAATACTAAGTAAAACTATTATATTTATTAGATTATATTTGTGCTAATTAACGATAACAATTATTATTTAAATGTGGATGCACAAAAATAATAATAATATTAATAATAATAATGTAAATAATAAAAATAATGACAATAATAATAATAAAAATAAAGTCAATAATAATAATAATAATAATACAAATAATGTCAATAAAAAATAATGACAATAATAATAATAAAAATAGTCAATAATAATATTAATAATAATAATAATCATCATCATCATCATCATCATAATGACAACAACAACAACAATAATAATAATAACAATATAATAATTATAATGTCAATAATAATAATAATAAAAAAGACAACAATAAAAATAATAATAATTATAATAATAAAAATAATATAAATAATGATGATGATAATAATAATAATAATAATAATGACACTTATAATAATTATTATTATTATAATAATAATAAAAACAATAACAATGATAATAATAACAACAACAACAACAACAATAATAATAAAAAGTATGACCCTAATAATAATAATAATATTATTAATAATTAATAATAAAGACAATAATAATAATAATAATAATAATAATAATAATAATAATAATAATAATAATAATAAATGACAATAATAATAATAATAATAATAATAATAATAATAAAGACAATAATAAAAATAATGACACTAATAATAATAAAAATAAAGACAACAATAATAATAATAATAATAATAATAATGATGACGATGATGATGATGATAATAATAAAATAAATAATGACACTAAAAATAATAATAATAATAATAAAAACAATGACAATAATAATAAAAATATTAATAACAATAAAGACAATAATAAAAATAATGACACTAATAATAATAATAATAATAAAAAATAAAGAAAATAATAATAATAATAATAAAGACAATAATAAAAATAATGACACTAATAATAATAATAATAATAAAGAAAATAATTATAATAATGATAATAATAATAATAATAATGGTAATAAAAATAATAATAATGACTAATAATAATAATAATAATAATAATAATAAAAATAATAATGACAACAATAAGAATAATAAGTATAAAAATAAGTATAATAATATTGATAATAATTAAAGTTAAAACTATCATATTAAAGGATTATATTTATTATATTTATTATTATTATTTATCCATGCATCAACATTTAAATAGGAATTATTCATTATAATGATAATCAATGATTAACACAAATATAATCCTTAAATATAACAGTTAAGATTTTATTATTTTTGTTATTGTTATTATCACCATTATTAGCGGTTGTGGTGGTGGTAGTAGTAGTAGTAGTATCTTTTGATTGGCTGTTTGCAACACTCGTCTGCCCTTTGTCAGGCCTCAGATGGCTTTAGAAGAGCTCTCAGATATTAGAAAGACTATTAATCGACTGAGGAGAGTTTCTTACCCGGAGAACTTTAACAAAGGCATCAAACTGCTCCTCCATGGGCGCTCCCTCCATCGGCAGGGGTAGACGGTAATACCTGAACACACATCAATACCCTCACATCACTCAGAGCAACATCACATAAACAATTATAACTATTTTTCCTAAAGAAACAATGTATTAAATGAGAAAATAGTGGGTGTGGCTTGTTTTTCTACTGTGAGCTGATTGGATGTAGTAAAGTAGGAATTTCATTCGCTGGGGAAAGATGGGGAAAAGGGTTTGGGGAGAGTTTGGGGAGACTCCTCCTCCTCACCATTTCTGTTTGATGTCAGAACAGCTGACAGCTGGAGGGGCGTGGTTAGGTATGTTAGCGACGCCCACTACCTCAGACAGACCTAATTCTGAGAATTTGACATGCACGGATGAATTCAGCACAAAACTAGCAACGTGAGCAAACAAAATCAATATACAAGTAGTTAATTTTTTAATTATTAGTGTAAATTTCATTGACAACTACGACCTTGATCACTTAACACTTTTTTTCCGCACTTGAACCTCAACTGACTGAAGCATATTGGCTTTAACACACACATCTTTCCAAATCAAAGTTGTGCATCATAAAAACACTCCAAACAGCATTGTAAACCACTCCAAATGGCATTGACATCTACTTTCAGATCGAGAATTACCAGTTGAGAAGCGCTGCTCTCTCTGAGGACAATACTGAATGAAAGTTCTAAGCATAGCGAGTCTTAAACACTGCACCTGTATGCGGGCATGGTGAAGCGCGGTCTCCTGTACACCTCCTCTGTGATGTGAATGTCCTCTTCGCTGCAGATGCAGATCTTCTGCGGTTCTCCTTTCAGATGCTCGATGTCGTTGTAGACGTAGAACATGTTGTCGTTCAGTTTGGCGAAGTCGTGCAGCTGAGAAAACACCAAACAGGGAGATTAAAGGGATAGTTCACACCAACATGAAAATTAGCACTATTTATTCAATCTTTTATTCAGTTCCTTTCTTCTGTTAAACACTAAGGAAGATATTTCTGTAAAGCTGTAACCATTGACTTCCATAGTAGACAAAATAAATACTATAGGAGTCAGTGGTTATGAGTTTTCAGCATTCTTCAACATATCTTCTTTCATGTTCAACAAAAGAAAGAAACTCATGAAGGTTTGGAAAAAAAGTGATTGCTTGATAAATAATGAGTAAATTGTGATTTTTTTTGGTGAACTATCACTTCAAAAACAGATTAACATGATGAACATGAAGATAGTTAAATGGAAGTCAATAGGTGCATTCGACTTCATAAAGCGATCGAAATCTGTCTTAAAGCGGTGCATGCTGGTTAGAAATGTTGTCCGGATTGATGCTGCGCCGACGCCACGTGACTGTCACATGTGGCATCAAAGCATAGATATATACATTAGATGTCGCCTGGCCTATTGTTGTCTATTGGACGGAATGCATCAATAGCGCCGCCATCTTGGTACAGGGTAGCGCTCCTTTGAAATAAATGCGGGACCAAGGTACAGTGGAGGACTGTGGCCATGCAAAGCCAGAGATATACACATATACACATATATCTATGATCGGGAGTTTTCCTGGATGTTAGTATTCAATTTTTTTTCTAATTAAGAAAATTATAATTTTACATCACTTTTCTACATTGATGGATCAGTGATCACACGGGCATTCCTGACAAAAAGCTTGTGTTAGTGTGTATGGAAATGCACTATCCACCCTCCCTGTTAACTTTGATCTAATCATGTCCTGAAACACAGCTCCTCTCCTGCTTTCACTTCTCATACTGACGGAGGGAGCGATTTGTTTGTGAATGAATCCCCCGAACGACTCTTTCACTAACGTTAGCCGACAATAATACAAGTTTCTGGCAGCGCAGCATCTCGTTGTCATATTTCTTTTGCATTGTTTGCTGGTTTTATTCAACAAAACTAGCATAAGCCGAGTGTTTAGTGCGAGTTGGAGCTGCTTTGCCGTATGGTGAATGCAGTAAGTGACTGTTATCATCAATAACGTTACCTGATTAGCACAAAAGTTCAGAACATACGAAAACAGAGAAAAACTTAATATTATTTATGAAATGTTCTGCCTTTGTGCTTTGTTTTCTTTGTTTGCTCGTTACTACACCCGTACACAGCGCTAAAGTCCCGCATCTTCACGTAATAACACTGTCTTGACTAGTGCGGTTGAATGACATTTGTCCTGGGAGCACTGTACCAATGTGGCGGCGCTATTGACGCATGCTCAGGGTCCCTATGCGATATCTAGTGTATATATCTATGGCATCAAAGTACCACAACAGCGCTCCGAGATCAGACGGCTAATTCAGACCGTGCAGCTTCTCAAAAGCGGCTGCAGGAGCTCTGATGACGACACCGATATTACAGGCTTGGCCGAGTTCACCACATGACAACAAACACGTGTGTTTCGGGTTTATAATTGGACAAATTTTGATTCAAAAGTTTCAAAACAAACAACTCACTTTTCACACCCTCTCTATCCTGTACACATCTTGCTTATTAAAAGACTACCAATATTGTACTGCAGTATCATCTTTTGTTAAATAATCTGGTTATAAAGGTAAGCTTGTTTGCAGAGGTTTATTTTCAACCTTTTTATACAGACTATTTACTGCATTCAGCTCCATGAACGATTTAAATGGTATATTTTAGCGAATAACCTAAACATGAACTCAAATAAGTCTGACAGACTTGAAATAAAATAATCATCATCATCATTGATCCTGCCACCCTAAAGCTCTCTTAACAAATTAAGTTAAAGAACGATTTTATTAAATAATTATAAATGATTTATATGATTATATTATAAATATATATTTTATTTCCTGTCTAGCCGTTTATAGGCTACGTGCTCTTTCTGGGAAACTTCTACTTAATCTGTAGCTCACTTAATTTACCTTTTGTTCAATCTTTTCATCTTTTACGTTGGAAAGTTTTATATCTATAAATGCACATATATGTAAACCCCTTTTTAGCATATTATAGCAAACAAGAAGTATTAGTCTAAAGAATGATGTTTAATGATGTCTAAAGAATGATGATGTTTAAATGATGCATGAAAGCCCCTCGTTTCAGCAGGGTGTTTTCACACCTCTACTTTGGAAAAGTCAGAAAAGTGGGCGTGTCCAGCTCTGTTCAGGGAGGAGTGTCAGAGGAAGAAAAGAGGCGTGGTGTGGGAGTGTCTATTTGGGAACGCGCTGACTTTCAGAGTCAAACAAACACACACACACTCACACACACACAGGGGAGAAAGTGACTGTGTTTACATGGACATCTGTAGTCGCCAAATTATTAAATGGTGGACTTTAACTGCAGTTTGGCTCTTTCATTCAGGGAATTCAGTCATGCCCCTCGCGACAGACGTGATATTTGATTGGAGGAACTGCTGTAAGCGTGTATTTTTCATGCAATGTTTGATACCGCACGGCGAATGAGAGAAAAAAACCCTCCGCATTTCCCGGAAACTTAGATGCACACGGCAGGTAGCGTCAGAAAGCCGCGTGTGTTATTCCGGTCACAAACTGCGGTGAAAATCCTACACGAGGTTAAAGTTTGGTTGTGGTGCTAACATGTTTACACTCGGTGCAGTAGTTTGTTTGATACAAACAAACTGAATAAACAAAGAGCACTGGTCGCTCACTTACCAAATCTGTAGAGACAGGACAATCACCAGCAACTAGAGCCGCGTCTTTATTAAGAGGAGACTACAAGCGAATCCGGATCTCAGCGTTTGCAGATGAGAACAGCTCTCAGGTAAACAATAATCCTCCTTATGCCGAGTTCAGACTGCATGATTTTCAAACTAGTCGTGTCACAGATGTTTCCACACTGCATGATTATCTGGGCTGGCGTTTCTTCGCTGCTTTGTTTACACTGCAAGATGGATCGGCGACAGGGACTTTCACATTGCACGACTTTACTATAGGAAGAATCGCCGACAACTTCGTCCAAACTACGTCTCACAGCCAAAAACATGAAGTATATCTTTTGTTCTTAACTACATAATGAGAAAGAAGCCTTTAATGGGGTAGAACATGTACATGTTTGCTCACCTGGGTTTAAAGGGAATTAGCCATTTCTCCTCAACGTTGATAATAAACTAATTTCTTTCTGTATGAAACGTCAAACAGACACGGGTGCTCCTGAGTCCTGTCAAACCTCCACTAGTTTTTCCTCCATTTCGTGGGTCCAAATAAACCGAAAAAGAGCGCTTTTAACTTCTCCCCCAGCCTCCCGCTGGCCTGCAGCAGGTATACACACACGCGCACACACGCAAGTGAATGCTGCTCTCTCATTGGCTGTAGGCGATGGCTAATGTTATTTTCAGTCAAAACTCAATTCACACGGCATGATTTGAATCGCCGACAGCTCCAGATATTCAGCACGCTAAATATCTCACAGGCGTCGGCGACTCATCAGCGATTCTCTCAGATCGTGTCTTTGATCGTTCATACTGTGTGATTGTCACTCACGTGCACGAGCAGCGATTTGCCTGTGATTTCAGGCATTTGTCGGCGATTTCTCAAAACCTGTCGACGAGCCAAAAAACGGGGCTAAAATCACGCAGTCTGAACTAGACATTAGAAACGTAAGTTATTGTTGTCGAGCGTCGAGTACACTGTTAATCCACACGTGACTCTGAGCTCACAGAGAGAAAATGAAAACAAAACAAAACCGTTTTCAACTCCGCCCCCGCCTGTGCTCGGCTAATCTGGTTGATCACCGGCTGCAGCTGAGCTTCATGTTGAACGCACCTAAAGGTTACAGGTTTTCAGCTTCCTTCAAAATATCTTCTTTCGTGTTCAAAAGAAGAAACTCAAGCTAGTTTTGAAAACGTGATTGGTAAGTAAATAAAGAATAAATTGTGATTTTTTGGTAAACTTTCACTTTAAAAAAAGATTGTCATTCGCTAATGATGTGATGAACATGAATTTTAATTTGGCTAGAGTATATATTTTTGATTTTTGAAGAAAGCTAAAAAACCTGTAACCATTGACTTCCATATTAGTAAAAACAAATACTATAGAAGTCAATGATTACCATTTCCAACATGTTTCAAAATATCTTCTTTTTTGTTCAACAGAAGAATAAAACTCATGAAGGTTTATAACAAATAAAAGTTGAATAAATGATGACTGAATTTACACGCTAAGCCTTTAAATGTCACTAAGCTGAATAGTAGTATCTTGCAAAACATCTAGTAAAATATTATGTGCTGTTATCATGGCAAAAACAATCAGTTATTATAAATGAGTGATTAAAGCAGACATGTTTAATGAGCTCTGACCTCTTTCCTGATGGTCAGCTCCAGGTCCTCAGATGAAGCTCCGCGCTGCAGATGCTGCAGGTTCTCGTGTAGGTTCTCCTTCCTCCGCGGTGTGTATGGGAGAAAATCCTCCTGCAGATGCAGAAACACCACCGGCTCCTCACGCAGACAGAAGAAGATCACCTCCTGCGCACACACACACACACACGCACACAGCAGATGGAGGTCAACATACACACACACACACACACACAAGCGCACACACATGCACTCACACCCACAAATACGCACACACACATACACACATGCACACACAAACACACACGTACAAACAAACACAAATGCTTGCATGTGAATGCACACATGCGCAAACATACAAATGCGCACACACACACATGAACATTAACACACAAGCAAACACGCAGGAACACACGTACATGAAAGTACAGACAGAAGCACTTGATTTGAATCAGATAATTATTGATTGGAGACTCATTCTGATCGGATCATTACAATCATTTCAAGTATTTGACCCTCAAAGTGCTTATTGATGTTCTGCCAGCTGGATCTGACCTGATGTCCGCGAGTCTGCAGGCTCTCCAGGACCCGTTTGAAGCCACCCAGACTGGTCTGACCCATACCGTACAGGGGGAACCCGCCGCCGCTCTGCCTGAAGTTTGGAGCCCCGTATGAGGCGGTGGTGTTCAGGACGTCTGCTTTACTGAACACATCCTGCACCATGAAGAACGAGCCCTGAGGATGCACAAACACACAATTACACAACTACACAAACACTGTATGAGGCGGTGGTGTTCAGGACATCTGCTTTATTGAACACATCCTGCACCATGATGAACGAGCCCTGAGGATGCACAATTTACACACACAATCACACAACTACATAAACACACAATCATATCATCATACAGTCAAACCATACAATAACACAGCTACACAAACACATAAATATACAAATATGCAACCACAGTTACACAACTACACGACCACACAATCACAACCAAACAATAACACAAGCATATGATCACACAATTTCAGCCACACAACTAAAAATGAAAGACGGAGCAGGAAAGGTTTACACAAGTAATATTTTTCCTGAGGCGATTTAAAGCAAAATACACAATGACACTCAATCAAACACATCTACAATGATAAGGAACGTGGTTACTTACTGACTTATTAAAGAGCCCATATTATGGGTTTTTGAAAATGCCCCTCCATGTAGTGTGTAACACAGCTCTAAGTGAAGTGAAGTATCCAGCTAAGGCTTAAATCTGTAAGTGTACAGTGTTTAAAACTGTTGATTCATCTATAAAAGAGTCGACTCATAGTGCTTCAAACGAGTCGCCTTGATACCGAGTCATTAGGTGTTTCGCCATGACATACGAACGAAACCAAGTTTTTCACGTGCACGCGCAAACCCGGGAGATTTCAAACCTGAGGCCCCGCCCTCTGACACAGACACACACACACACACACACACACACACACACACACAAACATGCCGGTCGATTGAAGTCACACTGCAGATGGAAATTATTGAGTCTCTACCCAAAGATGAAACCTCAGCATTATAACCAAGCAGTTGGAAACTACTGGAAACTACATGCTACGAAGAATACTTCATCAGCGTTTGTTAAAGGAAGGATCAGTAAAGAGTAACTTACTGATGGACGTCAGGATGGATTTTTCTTCCTCCATTTCTCAAGTGTAAGTACGTGCGATTAAAGTTGTTGCCTCGTTGACTCTAGCTTGCAAATGTATTTAGTTGTGATTTGTTTCTTGTAACCGTGTGTACTGTATCCGGTTAACTGGCTATATTCTCTTATCACGTGCAAAGTCACGTTAAAAACGCGACGTGTGCTGCTTTGTTAACGGAGCTCCGTGGACAAGGAGTAGTGTGTGTGTGTGTGTCTGTGTGTGCGGCGCTGTCGTCCGGAGGTGTGCGTGTGTGTGTGTGTGTGTGCAATATGTGTGTGTGTCTGTGAAAAGAGCAGAGTGAGAAGCTAGGAGATCTCCTCGACAGTTTTTGGAGTTTTTGCTCAATAAAATAGTCAGTCGTCTGTATTTTCAAGTCCATAGTCTGTATTTACATTGACCCACTGGCAGCTAAAATCCACGCCTACACTATCGAGCGTGGATGAACTGTGATTACTTTTATATTGCTGATTAGCTGTTTGGCATTTCACTCTGACTGAAGGCAGTCGACCAATCGCAACAGACTGTCATTGGTCCAATCAGCGCAGATTAGCTTAGCGCTAAGGAGGGGTTTGGGAACAAATGAATCACTGGGATAATTGGGTAAAAATAAATGCAGATTATAAGACCATGAAAGTGTTTTTTGACCTTGCATGCATATTAAACTGTTGTTGGAGACCCTTACAACCAAGATATGACCCTATTACATGTATAATATGGGCTCTTTAACGTACAGCAATACCACATGAAGAAATGGCAGACTTTGAAGGAATAACAGTGTGGGAGAGATCATTATAGTGCACTGGGCAAGTCTAAACAAGTTCCGACCACGCGTGTGCGGCATGCAGGTCTGTACAATTACGTAATTTATCGGCTTAAAGATATCGGCCAAATTTAGACATCGGATCAATAACGATAATCTTAAAAATAGCATTTATTGGCCGATAACGATATGGCCGCCGATATATCGTGCATCCCTACTTTCTAGAAACATCCATGCAGGTGTGTTGAAGCAAGTTGAAGCTAAAATCTGCAGGACACCGGCCCTCCAGCACCGAGTTTGGACACCCCTGGCATAAGCTGAGGCACATGGCCAAAGACGCGCTATCTTTGTGAACAAACTGCCGATTCGAGTTTTAAACAACTACATTCTCAGCTGAAAAACTGTTAAAACTTTATTTTGTGGCACAGTAAAGGAGTATTTTTAAAACCGTTTCTCCTCCGCCATTAGCTTTCGCTGATTACTAGCTTCGCAAGCTCGGTCAAGTCTCCTCTCGATGCATCCTTGGCCAAAGGGGCAGAACAAGTACACATCCGGGAATTTTAACTGTACTTTGCAAGAGGTGAACTTTGAAGTACTTCGGCGACGGTTGATGACGAGGACACAAGAACGCATATTGAGAAACAACAGCCATGTAATCTTAAATAAAACTGGACCCAACTGCAGCATTAATCCCGGCGGTAAGAAACCCTCCGCTAAATGACTAATTACTACTTTATGATGCAGAAAGTTTCCCAGTGGGCTCAGAGGGCCTTGTCAAATATGCAAATAAGAAGAACAAAGGAGAACGTTTGACGAGCGTTCTCTAATGGTTTACAGAGAAACTCACCATCAGCTCGTCAGCAAACACAAACTAACGAGCAAACAAAGAGAAGAGCAGTGTGTGTGTGTGAAGAGGTGACGAGTCTTCAAAGTCTCCTAGAAGTGCAAACGTGATTGAAACACACTCACACTCACACTCACACTCACACACACACACACACACACACACACACACACACACACACACACACACACACACACACACACACTTACAAACCTGCAGTGAACGTGGCATACAGCAATACCACAATACACATCAGACCAATGCTATTCACTGAATATCTGCCTTGTAAACAACACTCTCGAGCGGTGATATTTTCATATTACAGCACTTTACAGTGAGTTGCATGGTTCTATTATGTTAGTGCATGGCAAAAGATTTTCTTTATTCTTTATTTTATTTAACGACAAATATAAATTGATGTCCTTTGTTATTAATTTAATATATATGTAACTGAATTTAATGAAGTGTGTAATGAGGAGATGCGTCAGGCTCACCTGGACCAGATGGTGCTCAGGCATGTTGTCCGAAATCCTCCCGACTTTATAGTTTGTGCGCAGAACATCATCATGGATCTGAAACTCCTGTCTGCAGTTATATCTGAACACACACACACACACACACACACACACACACACACACACACACACACACACACACACACACACACACACACACACACACACACACACACACACACACACACACACACACACACACACACACACACACACACACACACACACACACACACACACACACACACACACACACACACACATTTGTTTTTGTGCATTGTGAATTGACATTCCATAAGTTTCCATTGTTTTTAATACTGTATCAACTGCAACCTCATTAGCCGCATTTCCACTATCGGGCCAGTGCGAGCCAGGGCTTTAATCGGGCCCGGCCGGGCCAATAGCCCGGGAGGTTGAGAAATGAGGCTGAAATCATGTCGCGTTTCCACTGTCGGGCTAGTAGCTCACAGCGCGTCACGCAAACACCGCCCACAGAACGCCCCCGAATCAAACGTCACACAACCCGCCCACTCCAGCGAGAATGAGGCAGATAAAGCAGACCATAGAATCATCACGAAACGAAACAAACAAATGACCCGTTACTGTACAGCAGTACATGAAATGTCTATACACACAGACCTGTGTATTTCCATTCATTACATTTGTTTACTCGCCGACCGACTGTTGGCATTGTGCATCGAGTGCTCTCGCCACTGACGGAGGAACCCGACACAGAGAGCGCACACATCCATAATATAAAGCCACAGAAATTCTCCGTTATAACTCGATATGGCATGTATTTTATAACATCCTCGTTTTGAGACGTGTTTCAGCATAAGAGCGGCCTGATAAAATATAGCCATATTTGTTGCGCTCGGCAGCTATTTACTAAAGCTCTTCATTTAAAGTTTCATTTATAAATTTAACCACGTCATATAAAAACAAACACTTGTTTGAGGATATAGAACACGTTTTGTGTTTGGGCTTTCCCCCGATGCGTTTAAAGCAGCGAGCGCTGCGCAGGACTGAGTGACAGAAAAAAAGGTATAGGCTAGATTCTGCTTTCACTCACCCAAATAATGCTCTGTTTGCGCGATTTGATTAGTATCATCGCATCCAAATACTTTATAAAAAATATTTCAAACCTTCTCCGGTGTTTATTGTTTTTAGAAAATATCGAAAATCTTTTTTTTCAGACAGGTCT